CCTACCTACCTACCTACCTACCTACCTACCTACCTACCTACCTACCTATCTAATCTGTATATCTATCTGTATATCTATCTATATAATCTGTCATTCTATCTCTTTCTATCTACCATTCTGCGTTTCCCGCAAAATAAGACATATTAAGAACATCTTATTTTCTTTTGACTCCCCAAATGTTGCTTGGGCCTTATTATCGTGGGGGGGGGGGCGAGGGGGTTATTGGTTTGGGGTTGCCAGGTGGCTGGACACAGCCTGTCGCAGCAGCGCAACAAAGCCACCATGAGGTGACCACGCTCATGAGCAGAAGCCCGGCAACCCCCCTTTCTAGCTGGGCAGAGCGCCACTCACCGACCCAGTAATATCCCAAAGATGCTAAGCCGCATGGTGCTCTGCCTGGCTGGAAAGGGAGGTTGCGCGAGCACCTGTCCACCCCAGCTCATGTGCCTCCCAGCCTCATCATGCTCTATGCCATCTCTCCCTGCAGGGCCAGGGCACCGCCGCCACCGTGCTACCTCCGCCGCCGTCATTCTCCGAGCATAACTGGCTTCCAAACTCCGGAGATCCGCTGCCGAGTCTTCCGGCAGTGGCCGCTCTGGGACTACGCTCTATGGTTGTGGGCTGGCTGTGGGAAGACTCTCTGTCCCACCAGAGCGAGGCTGCGGCGGCATCCTGGCCCTGCAGGGAGAGCTGGGCCAGGGCATGGTGAGACTGGCAGGCACGCGAGCTGGGGGCAGAGCGCCGGGCAGAGCGCCATGCGGCTTAGCGCCTTTGGGATATTACTGGGTTGGTGAGTGGTGCTCTGCCCGGCTGGAAAGGGGCGTTGCAGGGCGGCTGCTCATGAGAGCAGCTGCCCGGCAACTCCCCGCTCCAGCTGGGCACAGCGCCACCCACCAACCTAGCAGTATCCCAAAGATGTCAAGCAATGTGAGCTCCTTTGCCCCACCTCCTCCCAGCTCCTGCATCTTTGTGCCTTCGGGATGTCGCTAGGTTGGTGAGTGGCACTCTGCCTGGCTGGAGGGGGGGGTTGTCGAGGGGGCTTATAATTGGGGGAGGATGTATATTTTTCCCACAGGAAAAATATGGCATGGCCTTATTATCTGGACATGTCACAATTTCGGGGAAACACGGTAACTAACTATCATTTTAAAGAACTGACCATCTCCTTCACAGAGGGACGCTGGATGATGTACAATAAATATCGAAAGCATAAAAAACAGCATGTAAAATTGAAAAGAGGCCAGAAATGTTAGAAAGGAAGAGGGGAGAACTTTCAGGGTGCTAATCAGCCCCACGGCTGTGTTTTTATCTGCTTGGCCAAGCAAGGGGAGAGACCCATGTTTTTACTCATTTGCAGAAGGGCCTACCCCACCAAGGCCAGGGGAGAGGAGAGAGTGCGTGCTGAGCTATGCATGTGATTACACCGTAGGAGTCAGGGAGGCAGTATTTTTATGCTTTATATGCCACCGTAAAAACAAAGAGCTCTTACCAGTTTTGTACAAGGAAGTCGATCAGATGGAGTGTGGTGTGATCAGCAGTCCGGACTGCAAAATGAAGAGCAGTTTCACCTGGCTCCTAAAAACAGAAAGAAAAGATGAAAATTAGCAGCTCTGGGAACATTTGTGTCCTCACAGAATAACAGAGTTGAAAGGGACCTCAGAGGTCTTCTAGTCCAACCCCCTGCTCAGACAGGAAACCCTATAGTACCATTCCAGACAAATGACTGTCCAATCTCCAGTGATAAAGTCACAGCAGAACTGATAAAAAGCGAGTTACGACCAGTCCTCACACTTATGACTGTTACAGCATCCTGGGGTCACGTGATCCTCATTTGTGACCTTCCCAGCTGGCTTCCAACTAGCAAAGTCAATGGGGAGAAGCTGGATTCACTTAATGACCTTGTGTGTCATTTAACAAATGGGGTGACTCACTTAACAGCCATGGGAAAAAAACTCATAAAGTAAAAGCCTATTTAAACTGCAGTGTCTCTGTATGCTGGTTTGTGTGTTCTCCAACGCAACTCTCACAACGTTTCGCTGAACGTACTCGCTCTCCCAACAGGGAGCTTACCTAACACCACCTCTGATTGCAAAACACATTACAAAACCACATTACAAAAAAGGCGTTGAGACTTTGGAAAAAGTGCAGACAAGAGCAACTAAGATGATCAAAGGCCTGGAGACAAAAACATGTGAAGAATGGTTGCAGGATTTGGGTTGGCTAGTCTAGAGAAAAGAAGGCCTGGGGGGGGGGGGGATGGTAGCAGTATTCCAGTATTTGAGGGGCTGCCACAAAGAGGAAGGGGGTCAATTTATTCTCCAAAGCAGCAGAGGACAGGAGAAGAAAGAATGCATGGAAACTAATCAAGGAGAGGAGCAACCTGGAATTAAGGAGAAACTTCCTAACCAGTGAGGACAATCAACCAGTGGAACAGAAGTTTGCCTTCAGAAGTTGTAGGTGGAGGTTTTTAAGAAGAGACTGGACAGCCACCTGTCTGAAATGGTATAGGGCCTCCTGCTTGAGTAGAGGGCTGGACTAGAAGACCTCCAAGGTCCCTCCCAGCTTTATTCTGATTAAAACAGCATGACTATAATGCAATCCTCGTTCTTCTTTATTTAGCTTTTCTTTGCGCGCATGTGTCTCTCTTAAATGTATGCAAATTCAGATCCTTAGTCAGAGTTCTCACCTGTCCAGGCTCTAAGAGTGGTTCCATTAGCTCGACTCCTTCTGCATAAACTTGAAGTAGTGCAAGTAAATCCCTGGATCGAACAGCCTCTAGTAGTTCATTCAGCTTAGCTGCCGCCGACGCGCAGGTCTTTCTGGAGTACTTATGATCAACATATTTAGCAGTAATGAATTCTTTGCGGGCAGTCCTGAAAAAAAACGAAACAAAAGCAAAAACATTAACAGACGGCTTTTTTACAGAAATGACCTTGTTCAAAGTTACATTTCAGACCAGACCTTCGGTTTGACGGAGGAAACATGGAGGGGTGCAGCCTGCCAGAAATGGGTCATGGAAACAAGCAAAGCCCCATCGATGGGATGCAGGCCGCACGTGAAACAACGCCCCCACCGGTTTGCGGAAAAACCTCCCTCTGCGGAACCGGTCCCTAGTGCCCGAAAGGTTGGGGGCCGCTGATGTACAACATGCAGGTAAATTTGATAAGTAAATAATAAAAACGGTCTTGGTTTTTATGCTTTAATGACAGGGGTGTCAAGCTCGATTTCACTGAGGGCCACATCAGGGCTGTGTTTGACCTTGGGGGGCCCTGGGTGAGCGTGTTGGGGGGTGCCTGTGGTGGCTTGAGTGCTCTGCCAGCGAAAACAGGCTCCCGAGCTCCATTTTTGGCTGGCATGGGCTTTGTCAGTGAAAACGGAGTTCAGGAGGGCAGTAGCCTTCCCAAGCTCCGTTTTTCACTGGTAGAGGTACTGCGGGCAGGTCCTTCACTGTTCCCAGGGCAGCCCTGTGGGCCAAATCTAAGCACCTTGTGGGCCAGATCCGCCCTCTGGGCCTTGAGTTTGACACCCCTGCTACCCACCACCCCAGTGGTGGGTCTGGATCCCGTTCCAACCAGTACGGTACGGTTGGAATGGGCCCAGAGGTGTCTACATGGACGCGCGTAGTGCGTGCATGTGTCTTAGCGCCTCCGTGACCCTCCGTGACGCTCCAGCTGCTCTGCACAGCAACACGCAGGCACTGTATTTGCCATGCATATGCACGGAAGTCTTAAAAGACAGGTAAGTAGCTCGGGCAGATGGGTGGGCCCTATGGAGTACTGTACCGGAATGGTATCCGGTGCTCTGGTACGCCCGAACCAGGGCGTACCCCCTGCAACCCACCACTGCACCACCTAGAATAACTTGAGACGGCCAGCTACAGAAATCAAATAAAAAAACATACCCAGAAAACCTACAGAAGGCTCCTGAAGCAGCCCCCCCCTCCAATTTTGCAGCTTTCAGAAGAGCATCAGAGGAACATGTCATTCCCAAATGAAGTCTTTGATGATTTGAACAAGCCTAATAGCTGCAAATTATGCTTTTGGGGTTACTTACATATCGCTTGATGGCGTGGGTTTTGGAGACGGAGTCGGTAAGTTTCCCTCCATAATGTCATTAAAACTATTATTCCCTATATTCTTGGCCAGCTAAGAAGGAAACAAAAAGAAAAAAAAAACATGCAATTAAACATATGCCATTCATCTAAGACTTTTCAACCACAATGTACACTATGTTGTATTTTAAGCCTATTTGATGTTCAAAAACTATCCTTCAACGCAATTTTATAAATACTGAGAGATTGAAAAGCAAATGCGAGACTTCATTGTCTATGTCAGTGATGGAGAACTTTTTCGGCATGGTGCCCAAACCGGAACCCACATGCATGCATGCACACCAGAGCACTGTGCTCCATTGTGCTGGTGCTGTACACTCCGTGCGCATAAGCACCGAAAAGCTCAAATACAGGTAAGGAGGGTGGGCGGGCAGGTGGGCGCTCCGGAGCTCTGGAACGGAACAGTACCAGATGCTCTCGGCAGGTACCAGTACCCTCATACCGGGGCGTACCGCCTGCAACCCACCACTGCCATAGACATTCAGCCTCTGACAACAGAAGCATGTTCCAAGTGTGGTCCAAAGGTACCTTCTGCAGATCTTAAAAGCCGTAAAGTTTTGTAAAGGGAGATGTGTTCCCTTACATTGTTAATGCCCTAAGCCAGTGGTCTCCAACCTTGACAACTTTAAGACTTGTGGACTTCAACTCCCAGAGTCCCTCAGCCAGCAAAGCTGGCTGAGGAACTCTGGGAATTGAAGTCCACAAGTCTTAAAGTTGCCAAGGTTGGAGACCACTGCCCTAAGCAATTGAGGAGGCAGGAGATTAAAGAGCTGAAGAAGCTTCTTGGATGAGAAGTGAAAGGTCTTCAAAGAAAAAAAAGAGAAAGTCCA